ATTTGTATCAATTATCCAGGCAAAATCTACACTCGTATGTTTCAATGAGAACTTCTTATACCGTAATCAAAACTTAGTCTCAGTCAAGTCAACTGCAGATCTATATTTCGTAGTTCATCTTAAAATTGGGTTATTAACAGCGTAGTTAAAAGTTAAGGTCGGTTTTTATCTATAACGCATTAAGTCATATTTATGGGTATGACCAAGTTTTATCTATCTACACACATGGAATGGGTTAATCTCATTATAGGATTTGCATAGTTATCATGTGAACGAATGACGACGTATATTACATAAGGCCCCAATTTTTTCTACATGCCAATTCTATGATTCTCAAAATTGTAAAGTAAAAAAGTAAAAAGGAGATATCTTTTTTATTTATTTGAAATCTTAAAAATGTTGTTTTTTACCAGTGGAGTTTCATAATTAAATAATTCATTTATAGCATTTTATTTTTGGGACCCTTTTCTTTCACAGTTTTCCTTTCTTAAGTATTAATGAAATCTCCAAACTTCCAAGATTGAAACCGGTGAATTATTATCCAAACTTTGATTGAAAAAATAGTTTAGCAGAACCATTATGAACGGAATCTTGTAAAGAAAAAATTTGAAAAGTTTGCATTCTTTGTTGTCAATGGAAGGCAAAAAGCATTGAATTTTATTAACGGAAATGTAACTTTTGTAAAATTTGTAAAAGTATCTAGTTTTCAATATTGAAAGCCTATGAAAAATGACAGACCACATTTTGGAAATCCCAATTATAGGAGTTTTCGATCTTAACTTTTTTATGTTTACAAAAAAATACTCTGTCAATCAAAAACAACATAAAAGTCGTCAATAAATGTTTTAGCTTTTTTGGACACATTTAGTTTAATAAATGTAAAATTTCATCGTCTTCAAGGTACTCACGCAATTACGACTTTAAATATGGGTTGGTAGATCGCTTTCGTGAACAAACAAAATATTTCAAAACGAACGAGATTTTTAAAAATAGTTTTATCTTCAATGATTGGATACTTTAAAAGCATAATAAAAAAGGGCGAGAATTTCGAGATGACTCTCGGGCGACAAAATGAGGAGATTGTGGCTCGGACGTAAGATTTTTGTGCCTGGCCTCGCTTTTCTTCCCCTCGTTGCACAATCCTGATTAATATTCACTCTTTACTTACACATTAGATGGTACTGCGTTTATCAACTATTGCAGAGAAAATGAATTTTCCAGGCAATACTGGGTTCCCAAGCTAGTTAGTTAGTTAGTTGGTTTATATTTCTTTATTTTTGATATTCCTGTGGCCGAATTTAAAGAATTTGAGCGGCGGTTTTAATTTAAGCCGCGGCTTAAATATGGTTGGTTCCACTTAAAATTGTATCAAATGTTTCAAAATTTAAGCCGGCGCTAAATTTAAACCGGGTTTTTAAATTTATTTTTTTATCCAGTAAAAATAGATTTAAACACTCGCTGAACATTCTAACTTTCAAATCCTTATAACTTTGCTACCTGATGTTGGGGACTTTTAATTGACATATCAACCTATGAATTCTGTTTAATGAAACAATTTATTTTGTAATATTGATGAGTTGCACACTTTCAGGTTACAAAGTTTGTGACGAATGTCAAGTAGTTTAAGTGTATATTTATTACCTCATTGTGATATTTTTAGTGGTGTCTTTTAGCCTGTACAATCACAGCTGCGTCTCATGTACTCATCATTACAGTTGTTACAGCAGGTACATATTGAAATCATTTTAATATTCAAAAGTTCCACAAGAACCTGATTTGCGACATTTGTATTCTAACCAAAGATATTAACCAAAACGATTTTTCAAAACTAGTAGAAAATCGTTTTGCGTTTTTCGTTTTGAAAACGCATTAATAGCTTATAACAACGATCCCATATAACACACATTACACGTTCAAATAATTGTTCATCATGCAATCTGCAATTATAGGCACAGTTGGGCCAAGCAAATGTTGTAGATCTTAGATATTTCAAACTCTGAATTCTGGTAGATCAAATAATCTAAGTATGAAATATCAAAAGTTTACGCCATCAAGTTGCACAGATATAGGGATTCGAAAATTGAAGGTTGTGGGAAAGACTCAATTCCTTTGAAGACTTTAAAAAGTGTCAAAGAATTTTAAAAAAAGAATCATCGTATTTAACATGATCCAAATCTACTTTTTTTATTATCTTCACTCTATAAAGAAAGATGATATATTTAGGTAGATTTGAGGAGAACCTTATTCAACCATTTAACATGTACAGCATTCTCTCCCTTGCTGTACTGTACACAGGTGTAAACTGGTTGGGTTTGTACACTAAGGTATTATTTTAACAAAATTTTGTTGAACCAAGTAACAACTCGCCTACCCCCCCCCCTACCCTCCCTCATTGTCATGTAAAAAGTGTCACCTTTTATTCAATCCAAACCCTGAGTCCACTGTACCATTTCCATATTAGGATTCAAAAGTTGCCAGGTTACTTTTAAAAATTAATAATACAAGTGAAAACATATTTGTGTAAGAAACTTTCTTCGTGTGAGAAAGTCCTTAATACTTAATTGTCCTTTCTGTATTCTTAGTTTTTAATTGTCCTATCTGCATTCAAAGTATTTAATTGTCCTATCTGTATTTAAAGTATTTAATTGTCTTATCTGTGTTTTATGTAGTTAACTGTTTTATCTGTGTTTTTAGTATTTTATTTCCATCTGTGTTTTTAGTAATAAATGTTTCTATCTGTGTTTTTAGTAATTAATGTTTCTATCTGTGTTTTTAGTAATTAAATGTTTTGTCTGTATTTTTAGTATTTAATTGTCCTATCTGTGTTTTATGTAATTAAATGTTTTTTCTATATTTTTAGTATTTAATTGTCCTATCTGTGTTTTATGTATTTAATTGTCTTATCTGTATTTTTAGTATTTAATTGTCCTATCTGTGTTTTATGTATTTAATTGTCTTATCTGTATTTTTAGTAGTATTTAATTGTCCTATCTGTATTTATGTATTTAATTGTCTTATCTGATTTTTAGTATTTAATTGTCCTATCTGTGTTTTTAGTAATTAATGTTTCTATCTGTGTTTTTAGTAATTAAATGTTTTGTCTGTATTTTTAGTATTTAATTGTCCTATCTGTGTTTTATGTAATTAAATGTTTTGTCTATATTTTTAGTATTTAATTGTCCTATCTGTGTTTTATGTATTTAATTGTCTTATCTGTATTTTTAGTAGTATTTAATTGTCCTATCTGTATTTATGTATTTAATTGTCTTATCTGATTTTTAGTATTTAATTGTCCTATCTGTATTTTATGTAATTAATTGTCTTATCTGTATTTTTGGTATTTAATTGTCCTATCTGTGTTTTATGTATTTAATTGTCTTATCTGTATTCTTAGTATTTAATTGTCCTATCTGTATTTTATGTATTTAATTGTCTTATCTGTATTTTTAGTATTTAATTGTCTTATCTGTATTTTTAGTATTTAATTGTCCTATCTGTGTTTTATGTATTTAATTGTCCAATCTGTATTTTGTGTATTTAATTGTCTTATCTGTATTTTTAGTATTTAATTGTCCTATCTGTGTTTTATGTATTTAATTGTCCTATCTGTATTTTGTGTATTTAATTGTCTTATCTGTATTTTTAGTATTTAACTGAGCGAGCACAGAGAAAAGCTTTTTTAGAAACGCGAAGATCTTTGGAAGCAAGGTAAATATTTTGTTTAATTTATATACATTTTTACATTTACATCAACAGCAGCCATGTAGCAAGTATAGAGGCATGTAATAAATCCAACAATCCCCATATTTGTTAATACGAAATTTGATTAAAATATGCATTGTGAATAGATTAACTACGTTTATATATATTCATGTTAATCCTTTAAAAACGTACATTCAACTTAAACTAAGCTGTAGACATGTGTGGATAGCTTAACTGTGTATATCTATCCTCGGTAATCTCATTAATTTACAACGGCCATGGTAATCATTTTCACTTATTTTTTTTGGTAATTGTATAAAATTTATTTTGGAAAACATATAAGATATATATGCTACTATGCAGAAATTGTCTATCTCTATATGTGTATAAGAATATGTGTCTGTTACAAGTCATGAACCTCTCAACCGTTTTATTTGTCTCAAATTTTGATTGGGGAACTCGGTAGAACCAGGGAAATGTTATTTTCAATTGGTTTAAAAACTCTAAGTTGAGGGGGTAAAGTTTTATAAAGAAAATTAGTTTTGCCTAGGTAGAACCTTGGGAATATTTTGCCTAGGTAGAACCTTGGGAATATTTTGCCTAGGTAGAACCTTGGGAATATTTTGCCTAGGTAGAAAAATGCCAAGTCCTAGCAAACTATTAAGAGAGTCTGGTCGTATAATTAGGTAAATAGTTTAAACAACGGAATCGATTCATTCTTGTCATATTTTTGTTCGCTGAGGTTAGAGTTTAAATAAATCAAAATTTGTTTGATCTGAGAGTATAATTTTCAAACAGGATTATACCTCGCCTCAATTCAGTTCATTTGAATTCAATTTAAACTTTAATTAAGAAGAGAGTTACGAGAAATCCTCTCCATCGTAATTATTTTCAGTCATAAATGGATCTCTCATTCAAAATCTGTCAAAAATGACATTACAAACCTTATAAACTGAAAAATTTTAAATATAAAGCCTAACAAAAAGTATTAAATACAAAATACTAAACATCTACATTTAATGGGTAAAAATGGGTTCTAAAGTTAAGATTTACTGTATTTTTAACCTTTAGTTTATCGTGTGGTTGTTAATTATATTTGAACTTGCATTAATGTATTTATGATAATTCAGTAAAAAAAGAGTTTTATATTAGTAATGTTATCATTTGCATAATCAGTATATATCTCAGAATATATATATATATATATTCTGAGGTATATACATAGTTTTTTTAAGATTATAAAGAAATGCAACAATAGTTTAGATTCTTTAAGACGTCATGCCATTTAACTAATTCATTAGATTTTTCTTTTGCGACACTATAGCTGCACATCATGTTTATCACTTTAGTTTTATTAGAAGTAAATTTTTCCATTTACTGTTAGATAGATGTTACCGCCATCATACAATTGGTTCAGAAAAGACAACAAACACATGTCGACTGAATTCTGATTAGATCAGGCGCTAATGGAATAGGCATACAAGTGTGTTATGTAAACACGGGCTGACGATAATCTACTCATAATAAGTTTGGCTTGCCATCAGGGTTTCTAGTGGCAAAAATGCCGAACCTTTTCTAATTCAACCATCCTCTTCCTACATATCAACCTGGTTAAGCTTCAGGCCCTTCCTACCCTCCAGAATCTTTAAACACTATTCCTGATAACCGCCTTAGGATTCAGGCCTACTGCCTGAAATAGGCCTGATTTACCTCATATATTTAATTTGCTTTAAAAACCACAAAAAATTGTCCAAAATTTTACACAATCTGTGTAACAAAATATGCACAATAGTAAGTATTGTATTTTAACATTCGTACATAAACCAATGTTTAGGTTCAGATCTCAGAAGGAGAATGAAAGACAGGAGAAACTACTTTTATCTGTTCTTCCTTCCTTTGTTGCTCAGCAGATGATAAGGAATTCATTTAATGACAAACCTTCTTTTTTATGAAAACCTTATAAAGCAAAAGTTAAACGTTGAAAGGTTAAAAAACAACGACAAAGTATGTTACAAAAAGTCTACAGTAAACTAATTAGTTGTTTAGAAACAGGTTGAAGAAAAAAATTATCTCTTATCATCGAAATAACTAATCTTATTCAGTTATTGGTTTCTGTTATGTCTAATTGTTGACAAACATTTTTTGTAGATTTTCTGGAATTTGTAAAGAAAAAACGACATTTGAAGAATTTGAAGAAATCTGCGAACAAATTCATAAAGAATAAGAAAATCATTATAAGGATTAAAAAGGGATAATTAATTCTAACATTGATATATTGACAAATTTCTATTGAGAAATAAATTTTTCGTTGTCGTTATTTAATGATTTAAAAAAAATCAATTCTCAAAACGTAACCACCCAAGTGGATGTTTTTGAACGTCGACTTCGCGCTCAAACTCAGTAATTATAGTACCTAGGACTATAATTATATATTTTTATGTTCTGCTACTGAATCTTGACACATGCAAATATATAGGATAATTTGGCGCTGTTTATTATTTATTAATTTATTAATTATTTACTGTATATATTAAATGGAATAAAAAATTATTTTATTTTGATTTTATTTTGCATTTGTTGTGTTGTATGCAATATATTTTTGACTTGACTTTGCATGCTCAGAACTATTAGATCACTGGAAACTCCTGTACCGGGCCGATTTTTAACCAGCCAGAGCAAGCTGTACAGTACAATTACAGACCATGGCAGTACCCCAAATGAATAGTCCTTTTCTTGGCAAATTTATGTGAAATCGTTCTGCAGAAAAATATCTAGTTTGCTAAAGTTTACCTTCATTTTCAAATTGTTTCTGAAGGGGAAAACAAATGAATATTGTGTATAAAGAGATATAGCACTGGAGGAGGAAAAATCACAGGTATTAGATATATACCTATTCTAACAAAAAAGATGGTCATCGGTCTTCGAATAAAATTGTAATAATAGGCTGGGTTTCAAATATAAGACATTTAATGGGATGGACCAGAGTATGATGTAAAAAAAAAGACTGTGCACAATACACATGACTTTGAGTGACCAATGACCATGCATTAAAAAAATGCCTGATTCACTCGATCTCTAAGGATGACAGTTAGGGGGGATCGGTTTAATATCAATAAAATGAGAACATTGCCTTTATAAAATTAAAGATAATTTTAAAAAATTACATTCTTGTAAAATTCTAATTCTAAATTTTTCAGGGCGAATTCTTGGCATCTCAGTTTCACAAGATATACATTCATAGATATGAGAAGGAATTATCAATCAATCAATTAATAAACAATACTTGAAAATCAATTTCTGGATGATATTTCTAAAAAAATTATTATAAACTTATTAACAGAATAAACACAATAGAAAATTGAACAAAAAATAAATTTTAATTATTCACATTCTTTAAAAATATGTTATATTTTAATTTTTTCTTCCTTAGTTTTGAATCATTTAACAATAGTTCTACTATTATTATCATAAAGAACAATTTCATTTCTCGGAAAAATTGAATTTCAATTTTGTTGATTGATAAATTATACAGGTTTCTATCCTATTCGCAGACATTAAAGGATTTACAGGTAAAACAGCTTGAATTCTGAAACTTTTATTTCAGTAATTACAGATCACGTGATGTTTTTTATTTCATTTATTTGAATTTGAAGCTATCTTATATTTTCCCAATCTGCCAAAGTTTTCTTCTTGCAGCTTTACAGCGAGATGTGTAATTTACTAAAGCATAATCAACATTTTTGTTTTAAAAGTTTTAAAGTTTTAAACCGAAATAAAAATTTTCAAAATTTTTTTTGTAAAGTAGCCCTGAAATAGGTGGAACATGTTATCAAACAGCTTTTTGTGTAGTAGAGCGCTAATTTACATAAAAAATCCTTCCTATTATTTAATTCTCCGCGTCAAAAAACTTTCAGACAATATTTTACAAATTCTTCCGATGTCATCTTATACAGGGTTTTTTTTAAATTATAATTTTAAAACGCTAATAAGTTCATCAATTTTAAAGATATCCAAGTTCTGTAAAAAGCTAGTGCAAAAAGACATTGGCACTTTTATAATCTGTAAAAAAAATCAGAAAAATATGGAGAAAAAATCTTCAATTTGATTTAAAGCAAAACTTACATATTTGCATGTAATTCTTCCCTAAGTTGAAGATGATTGTTGAGAAATATGATTTCTAGAGATAACCTTCTTTGTTTTCTTTAATAATTTCTTATACTGAGTCAAAATTTCCTACCAAGAAAATGGCTATAGATGTAAATAGCCCCTGCAAAATCAAAATTGACCTCATCTTTCATTAGCATTTTAGAGAACTTGGATATCTTTAAAATTGATGGAGTTATTAGCGTTTGAAAATTGTCATTTTACAAAGATCGACTGATTTTGTATTGTAGCCCTGTCAACTCAATGTTCCCCCGAGGAGCTTGTTCGGATCCTAAACGACCTGTTTGCCAGGTTTGACCGGCTAGCTCAGAACAAATCCTGTTTGAGGATCAAACTTCTAGGAGACTGCTACTATTGCGTGGCAGGGATAAATATTCTAAAACCAATCTGCTAAAAGGGAATGTACATGCATTTTAAAAAGGGGAGTCATAATAATCGTAATTATAGATGTCTGATGTAAAATCTGCAAAGAGCTGTTCTGAGCAGGGTATAAGGACAAGATTATTCACTGTGGTTTATTTTATCACTGGGAAATGTACCCCCTGACCCCTGCCTTTAGTCTGCATACGTTATGATTAGGGTTGTTAAAACCCATCGTTTAGAAAAACGATCAAAAAACAATAGTTTTTGGTTTGTTCTAAAAACGATCGTATCGTATTTAGAGAAAAAGGTTGGGTCACAAGAACGAACTACTCGCGTTGAACTTAAAAAGGAGAACTTCTTCCTCTTTTCATCTTTTCAAAAAACGTTTCGTTTCGTTTCCGTTTTTCTTCGTCGTTTTTAAAAAGAGAAAACGATCCATCCCTAGTTGAGATTAAACTTTTTTTTACATTTTCTGACACGTTTTCTAAATATCTTAAGTGGGGCCGCCCGCCTCCCCCCCCCCACAGATAATATTCTAATCCTGGAGATTCACGACAGTATTGGTGTACTCCTATTATGTATTTTCCTAATTTAATTTCTTTAGATTTGATATGAAATAATATTTCTTATAAATTCTTTTGTTATAAAAAGTAAATCATCACTTTTAATCTGGAGACAAGAATTAAAATCCTCTTCATTTAAAAAAGAAAAGAAAAAGAAAAATTTAAGAATATTTATTTCAATTATAGGCTTACCAATAGCCAGGTAAGTCTCCTTAATCTCTGTTTAAAAGCTGGTATTGAAAGATATATCAAATATGAAATATGCCAAATAAAACCACGACTATTTAAATAAAAATGAGTTGTTTTTATTTAAAGAAGGTGGAAAAATCCATTTATCAGGCAGTAGTGTCATTTTCCGACCATCTTCTAAGCAAATGATCCTATTTCCTAATACCTGGACTTTTCCTCCCTATTTGAAGTGCTTTTCATTGGAGACCCAAATCTTTTTTATCAGGGACCCCAGTCCAAGCTTATCATCAGAGACCCCAAGCTTATCATGGGGGACCCCACCCTTTTCGTTGGAGACCCCAAGTTTTATCAGAGGCCCCGGCTTAAGCTTAACATCAGAAACCCCACTCTTTTTATTGGAGACCCCCGATTTTCATTGGAGTCTCGACGGAAATCTATGGGGTTTTCAAAATTACTCCCGGGCTCTAATCCTCATACAGATAATCGTGTGTTGTAAGCAAACATTTGCTGAACTTTCTAATTGTGAGAAAATTTATCCCACTAATGGCAAAACTGCTTTTTCAAATCAAAAATACTTGGGTTTAGGCGGTGGAAATACAGTGTTCCTCAAAAATTGCAAATGGAACCCCAAGACAAAAGACAGTAAATGTGTTACTGTTTAATGCGAAATACACAATTATATTACAGGGTTGACCATGCAGATTGCTGTGTTAAACTAGGACTTGAGATGATTGTAGCAATTGATCTTGTAAAAGAGTTCTATCCGAATGCTGATCTTGCAATGCGCATAGGTAAAGCGGATAACCATAATTTTTGAATCTGTAAGCAATAAAAAGTCTTGACGTTAAAATTTATATCAATATTTCCTTAAAGCAAGCTATAGAAGAGTTTTTGCCGTCACAACTCAAACTTTTAATCCCCATATCTTTGCAACCGGATGGTGTAAACCTTTGCTATTTCAAAATTAGATTATTTGATCTAACAAAATTCATAGTTTTAAATATTAACTTTTATGACTTTGGGTTGTAAATGTAGATTGTAGAAATGAAGGGTTTAGAAAATTAAAGTTTGTGATGGCAAAGACTTAATTTATTTTTGGTTTAGAGTGAATTCGCCGTACTTTTCCCATGGGATTTACGTCCCCCCCCTCATTATTAAAAAAGAGAGCAAATTTAGCCACTAAAAATTGAACTTAAACATTTACCATTGCTTAAATCATCAACCTGATTTGACCGAATTATAAATTAACTTCAGAAAACACTAATTGATTCAAAAATCGATGAAAACTTTGCCCATTATTTCTTAAAAACTACGACTGAAAACCATTAATGAATAGTTTTTATAATTTCCATGTCTAAAGCTACAAAACGTATTATTAAGTCAATATCAATGCTCAAAACGTTATAACACTTTAAAGTCAACCCAGTCTTAAAAATGATATTTCTTTTCATAGCACTTAGGATCAATGTAATACAATCTCAATTTATCAATATATTAATATTATAATTTTGACAACAATTCTACTTTTTTAGTAATGTTAAAAATAACTTTTTTGTAATCTTGAATTAACTTGATCTTTTTCTTACAAATAAAATCAAAAATAAAAAGAAATAGGATCTGTGTTTAGATTAATAGAAGTTAGGATTTAAGAAGGGTTTAAGGATGTCACATGATAAATACAATCCCAGTACAGACCACAGAGGGAGAGCAAATATTAAGAAAAGTATACAGACACTAGGCTTTAAGGCATTTCACGCCCATCTTCTATTTCAACTACTGTGAGCTTCTTCTCCTTGTACAATATAAAAAAATAACAAAAAAAGTTCGCGGATTCAATCATATTTTTTTTAGGATTTCAAAGAAAAAAGTTATGTTTAAGGAATACAATCAGAGCTGGAAACTTTAGAATTAGATACCTTTAATACCCACTGCTTAATCCGAATATCCAATGTGGACACTTTTACTTGCTTAATCCACTTTTTTAATATAGTAGAGAAAAATCAAATACCGGTTTTTCAAAATTATAGAGTCCCTCCCGTTTCTGTATATTAATCTTAAATGGCGCGCAAACTTTCAAATTTTCAGGCTTCTGATACGGGTTGAATTTTATACACTTTTCAGGATACAAGTACAAGATTAGGTTAGTCTCGAGATTAAGAAAAACAGATGATCAAGAATTGATATCGATATTTACGATTCTAAAGTTCTCAGCTCTGAATTTGTTTTATGTTTAGAAATACATCAAGGAGTGTTTTATGTTTAGGAATACAATCAGGTTTAGGAATACACTCAAGGAATGTTTTGTGTTTAGGAATACACTCAGGGAGTGTTTTATGTGGAGTTCTCGGACTTAGAAAATGGCAGTTTGATGTCTGGAGCACTGATGTTACCATTGCAAACCACTTGGAGTCTGGTGAGTAGTTTAGGGAAACTTTTATCACAATACTGGGTAAAATTCATATTATTCTGTAAAGGAGGAATACCGGGTAAATAGTCATATTATTCTGTATGGGAGGAATACCGGGTAAATAGTCATATTATTCTGTATAGGAGGAATACCGGGTAAATTCATATTATTCTGTATAGGAGGAATACTGGGTAAATAGTCATATTATTCTGTAAAGAAGGAATACCGGGTAAATAGTCATATTATTCTGTATAGGAGGAATACCGGGTAAAATTCATGTATCTCAAGCAACAATGGATGCGTTGGTGAACACTTACAAGGTAAAACTAAACAAGCTAAAAAATTTCTTTTATATTAATACAATGAAATTTCATAGCGAAAAAATTTGTATTTGTTAAAAAAATTGAATTTATACTAAATATATTTAGAATGCGGATGTCAAACTTTCTCAAAGTCATCTATTCTGTTTTTTCCTTTCTTACATTATCAATAAACCAAAAATAAAAATCCAGCGAATTTAATCCTTTAAAATATGTATTAATAACTATATATTTAATCTTATTTCAAGTAGCAGAAGTACTTAACGTTCATAGAGAAAGGAAAAGAAGAGTTAAAGTTTATCTCATAATACATTGTACATAATTGTACACAATGAACTTTCCTTTACTGCAAAATTGACTTAATTTCGCGATTGTGTACATCGCAGTATGTTTACATATCTAATACTGTACGCCTGTATAATGAGTGATATTATTCCTAGTGTTTTTTGTAGTCTAAACTGTGATATGGGCGGCGTCAAACCTTATAGAATTCCAACGTATAGAAACCGCGACGTATAGCAACAAGGGGTATTTTCCGGGAGAACATTTTTTATGTTTTTGAGAAATTAAATAATCAGTGTAAAGTAGATATAGTTTTCATAAAATCCTTTTATTATATTTAAATGGTAAAACGGAATTTTATGAAATCATATTAGCATTACTGGAGAAGTTTTTTATACTTTTAAGATTTTTTTTTTCTAAAAATAAAACTGTATATAGCATTTTTATAAAATATCTTTTTTAATATTAACACGCAATTTTATGTATAACCATATAATCATTCATTTATGTTGTCAGTTTATAATAAAATCCATATGGAGGATCTTAAACACAATAGAGAGCAGTACAAATGTACGTATTAAACTATTTTGCTCCTTTAATGTCTAGGGTATGTTAAAAAAATAGAAATTATGATGATGATAATGATTAGCTACAATGTTTTACAAAAACGTTTAATTTCTCAAAAATATAAAAAATGTTCTCCCGGAAAATACGCCATGTTGCTATACGTAGCAGTTTCTATACGTTGGATTTCTATAAGGTTTGACGCCTGATAAGTTATATGCTCATAGCCTCATTCTTTTCTGATTCAGATATTTATTACGAGGAAAAATATCTTTTCACCACCCTCCTCCCCTGTATAGTTAAAAGCAATGCTGCTGCATTTTTCTTCAGATTAAGTCAAAATTTCAAATCTTGAAAGGTCTAACCAGGGCGCTAAATTTAAACCGGGTTTTGGCGGATTTTTAGCGGATTTAAACCGCGGCTCGAATTCTTTAAATTCCATCTCAGGTACAGTTTTTTGTAATTTAAAAAAACTTAAATTCTTGCAAGAAGAATTTTGGTGTAATTGTTCCCAATACAATGTAGAATACAATATTTACCATCCCTATTAGGCACGGGCAGCCGTAGTACATTTGAATTTCCGAGCCAGGTAAATCTTTCCGGTCCCAGTTTGTACTGTATCGCCCGGACATTGAGTAAATAAACACTCAATAGGACTAGCCGGTGCAACAAGGTTGACGCGGTCAGTCTTTGGGTTGAATTTACTTTTACTGAAGGGTCAGAGGTGCGTGTAGGTGTCTATCTATCTATCTACATATATGCTAATTCAATTATTTACGTTTAATCACACCAAGATTATTTGTTGTCATAAATACACCCAAATTATAATTTCGTCACTCTGCTTCTTAAATAAGTTTAATTAAAGGTAATAAAGGTAAAAAAGACATATCAAAATGTTTTGAATTATATTACCTAGGTCGGAGAGGGAAAAGGAGGAGACAGAGATCAATATTTAGCAGATAACAATATCAAAACATATCTGATAGGAACATAATTCATTTATTCACAAAGTTCTACATTGTACAAGGTGTTCTTCAAAAAAACTTTTAGACAGTTGTCGTCGTGCATATCAAAACAATGAAGACGACTTTCGATTGAAATTTCGAGTTTTACCAAGCTTTCAAACCGAATTGGATACACATAAACATGGAAACAAAGATAAACTCTTTATTAAAAGCTTTTTATTGTTTATTTGTAAACTTGAAATTTGAAAAAAAGCTTATCCAAAATCAAAACTTAACTTTAAAAGGTGTCTTTATTGTATTGGTATATACGTCGTTCACTTTATATACATGCAGCCTTTTATATCTGCATTTAAAATCTCAAAGAAGACCCGAATTGCATTTGGTCTGAGTTTGAAAAACAGTCTTTTTTTCCCCTTTCTATTGGAAATAAAAAAACTGTTGTATGTCTACAAACTAGGAGACTTTAGAGTAAATTAAGCGAAATACATTGGATTTTTTTGTCCAATTTGTTAATTTGCCAATATTTAAGACTTTCAGCTCTATTTGTTAACCTATTGATCTATAAAAAGCAAACACAGTAAGAAAGAAAATTTTAGAATTAAGCACAAGAAAGATTGAAAAGAAAGATTATGACAGAACTAACTAAATCAAGGGTATTTATGTTGTTTATCAATAATTGAAATCTTAGAATGTTTTCAAAAATAAAAAGTAGACATATTTGTTGACTTTAAAAGTCACTATAATAAAATAAAAGAGATCTAAAATGGATATTTCTAACATTTATCTAAAAAAACGAAAGTTTTGAAATATTTGCACATGGCTGAGTATAATTGGTTGGTTAAAAATGAAAAAAAAAAGAAAACTATTGACGAACATCAGTTGGAACATGTTTGTAGAGCTTCATGATGGTGGTGCAGATCAACAGGAACTGGAACAACAGGTTTCCGCTCACCCCAGGCTTTGGATAAGGAGGGGGAGAGATCGCGGGTTTATCAGTTTCGAATATGAGGGAATGCGTCTCAATGTTCGCCTGATAATTTTGGAGCTCTTGGAACAATATTGAGCTCGATGTAAGCATCGTCTGTTGATAGCTAGGTATCTGCATCATCACTATGAAGGAGCCAGGGTTGCTCCCTGAGACGGAGTTGTGATCATCTCCGGTGTTTCATTCTGACTGCTGGGCTGGGATGTGTAGAGGGGTGAGGGGGGAACGAAGGAAACGAGGATGACATGTGGGCGCTTCATGGAGGATACATTCATTTAGATACACACGTCTTGAGAATGGTCTACGGCATTTGAGTCGGTAAAATCGTCTTCCTTATATTTTCGAATTTGTGTTAACAATATTACTTTAGTAGCTTGGGAACCCACCGTTTACCCGCACTTGAACGATTTTACCGGGAAATTTAATTTTCGCTATTTAAGTCGACTTCCTTAAATTAGAATCTCAAAACCAAGCTAGGAATATTCCCGTGGGTCTCCCGAGTTCCCCAAACCAAATTTGAGGCAAATCGGTCCGGGGTTCCTAAGTTATGATCGGACAAACAAATAGGCAGACAAACAGAGATTACAACTTTATATATATATATATAGATGCAATGCTTTTTAAGGTTAATATGGTTTTGATGTTTTAATTAATTTCTTAAAAAACTTTTTTTAAGAATTAATTTAAGTTTCAGATTTTAAAAGATCCGGGGGGGAATTACATATCGGGTTCTTTGAAAATTAATTATAAAGCACGTATATTTATTTTATAAGTTAGAATACATTTCCTAGAAAACAGGGATTTGATCTTTTCCTAATAGAAAAAAAACATAAACTTTCTTTTTACTTTTTTCATAGTTTTGTACAGTGATAGCCAGAAAATTTTGGAATAGGAAGTCTCAAGATATGACTTTAATTAGTCCAATGAACATGAGACACAACAATTGTGCAGTGTAAACAGACTCATTTAGCTTTTTAAGTGATTTAATATCTTACTGGTAAAGCTATTTACTTTGTATCAACATCAAATGTACTTCAGTATTGCTTCAATGTCGTCTTCCTATTCTACAGTTTTCTGCTTATGACTGTATTTAAAATACAAAGGCAAGTTTCAGCTTTGACAGCTCTGATCCGAATTAGTAATGTATAGGGATACTTTGCATAAACTATTGTGACTAGAGCTGGGAATTTTTGAATGGTGGATATCAGGATTAATGCTTGATACACTTTTTTAAATCTTGGGATTAAAAATAGCTTGCTCTCCTTTTGTTATTAACCGATCGGAATTAAGGATATCCCATTTTAAAGTTTTCAAGCGGCCTTGTTAACAGTTACTAAAAAATAGTTTATCGTTATTATTATTTAAAAATTTAAGTCTGGAATGAATGATTATGGTATCAGAACGCAATGATTGTGAAGAGGGTGGGGTAGCATCCCCTCCACCAAATACGGAGAGATGGCACCCATCTACAGAAGAGAGTGGGATAGCATCCCCTCCACCAAATATGGAGAGATGGCACCCATCTACAGAAGAGAGTGGGATAGCATCCCCTCCACCTAATACGGAGAGATGGCATCCACCTAAAGAAAAGGGTGGGGTAGCATCCCCTCCACCTAATACGGAGAGATGGCATCCACCTAAAGAAGAGGGTGGGGTAGCATCCCCTCCATCTAATACGGAGAGATGGCATCCATCTATAGAAGAGGGTGGGATAGCATACCCTCCACCTAATACGGAGAGATGGCATCCACCTAAAGAAGAGGGTGGGGTAGCATCCCCTCCATCTAGTACGGAGAGATGGCATCCATTTACAGAAGAGGGTGGGATAGCATACCCTCAATCTAATACGGAGAGATGGCATCCACCTAAAGAAGAGATTGGGGTAGCAATCCCTCCATCTACTACGGAGAGATGGCACCCATCTACAGAAGAGATTGGGGTAGCAATCCCTCACATTAATACAGATGATAGGCCCAAACTTTCAGTAATTGGGGGTGGGACAGCTATCCCTTCCCTAGATACTGAGAGTAAGCCCACAACTACAGTAAACGAAGGTCGGGACGCCATCCCTTCCCTAGATACTTTGAGTAGACACACACCTACAGTAATTGAGGGTCGATCAGCCATCCCTTCCCTAGATACTGAGAGAAGAGATGACGAGTCTATGGAAAATCCACAAGAGAACCGTGTGATAATGTCGAAACAGCTTGGAATTGAAAATGGATACTTGTTTTATAACTTTAAAGAAGAAAACACTTTGTTCTCCCAAACTGCACCAAACGAGAATAAAGAATCTTTCCAAAGCATCACAAAAACAGATATGGCATTATCCAAATGCTTTAAAAAAGAAAATAATCTGTTCTCACAAACCAAAATAAACGAAGATGATGTATCCTACCAAACCACACAAAAAGAGAAAATCATGAACTCACAATCTCTAGAAAAAATAATCGAGGTGTCCTCGAAGCAACATAAGGACTCCCAACTAACTGCCACAAATCTGTTGTCTACTTCACAATTCAAGGACATAACACCAACAAGCGTAGGAACAGTTTTGTTTTAATATTCTAATTTCTATATCATTTCTTCCCTAAAGATAAATATGCCTGCCCCCCCCCCTTTGCTTGGCAGTAGCTTTTTTTGTCAATCAAACCTTCTAGGATGCTTATTTATCCCAAGAAAATCCCTTAAATCTCCCATTTTGAACTGAACTGTATTGTAAGATGTTCATTACCTGACTCCGATGAACAAAAGAAACAATTTATTTTCTCCTCTCAAGACAAGGTGATACAGATTTTTTAATTCAATGCATTCTTCAGAAGTCAGGAATTGTATGGCAATATCACCCTCATATATTACAGAGGCCAATAAAAAGTTCTTTTTTTAAAATTTCTTTTCAATTTCTTATTCTTCCCATATAGGTTATCAAGTACAATAGATGGCAACACAGAATGCGTACACTTTTATTACAGCTGTTTTAAGTGTCAACTCAATTTCTGTATCTGAAAAAAACTATAAATAAATAAAAAACTATCTTTCAGTGAAATTAGTGCAATTTTTTGTGTTCTTTTTTCTGTTTTTACAATTTTTCATTTAACTTTCTATAGACTAAATAACGAGGTTGAAACTGATTATGTACATAGCCCTTTAACATTAACAATCTTTTTGATTCTTCTCATAGAAGAGAGCAGAAAGTTTTATCACCAAATTTGAAGTAGCCTTTAGATTGAGAACAAATAAGAGCTTACATTATAAATTTCCATACTGACTTCTGCCTTTTTAGGTTTCAGGATTAAGATTTAGATACTAAAAATTTACATACATTATAAACCAGAAATCTCTGAAATACAAAAATGCAACTTTTAGAATCAAGTTATAACTTTAAATGATCATGAGACAAAGCAATTGTGTAGTGTAAACAGACCCAATTCACTGAATAGTGATTTAATATGTGCCAAGTAAAACTATTTACTTTGTAAGAACATCAAACACACTAAATTATTGCTATAATGTCGTCTTCCTATTCCATTGTTTTCTGGTTATCACTGTAATATAGAAGAAATGCTGGTGAAAAATCTTCTGTACCCCTGAGGCTTCCTGTACCTAAGATCACTATCAGCCTGCCACCAGGAGAGGAAGGAGAAGGAGGCTGTGGTTGGGCACCAGGAGAGGAAGGAGAAGGAGGCTATGGTTGGGCACCAGAAATACCTTTTGTAGATCTTACGGAGTCAGAAAGACAGCTTGAAAGAAAAGTAAGTCTGGATTTTGATATTTGTTTTCTATATACAAATATAGGGAAATATTTTTATAACTTGATGGAGATTGGTTTCATTTAATATTTTTGCAGATTTTGTTTCTTTAAGGTCAATTTTAATCGCATTCCACAATTTTGGAAACCTTGCAGACGGAAAGCTTTTAAGATTTTTGTTTTAAACCCGTTTTTAATTTTTATGATTTGTTCTATTCGGTTCAGCTAGAGACTTGGATATATTTTGGAAGGAAGAGAGAAGGTTATCATTAAAGTATCCATACATAAATGTCCGAACACTAAGTTTGCATGTATCATCAAAATTAAAAAAAAATTTTAAAAAATGGATTTGAATGTGCCTTGAAAATACTATTATTTACCGCTCTGAATGACTTTTTTTTGCAAACTTAGTATTGTATATCCACTCTCTAGGTGGAGGAGCTGGATAACCATATGGAGATATATATATATATTGCTTTAATGACGGATATCCACTCTCTAGGTTAGCTTGAAGGAGGAGCTGGATAACAATATGGAGATATATATATATATATATATTGCTTTAATGACGGATATCCAATCTCTAGGCTAGCTTGAAGGAGGAGCTGGATACCAATATGGAGATAAATATATATATTGCTTTAATGACGGATATCCACTATCTAGAATAGCTTGAAGGTGGAGCTGGATAACAATATGGAGATATATATATATATTGCTTTAATGGCGGATATCCACTCTCTAGGTTAGCTGGAAGGAAGAGCTGGATAACAATATGGAGATATATAATATATATTGCTTTAATGACGGATATCCACTCTCTAGGTTAGCTTGAAGGAGGAGCTGGATACCAATATGGAGATATGGAGATATATGATATATATATAGATATTGCTTTAATATTGTATATACAATCTCTAGGTTAGCTTGGAGGAGGAGCTGGATAATCTGATGGATATTTCTATCGAGATCGCCAGCAACAAGCGCATGAAGAGGGACTATATTAATGCTTTCAGGTTAAATATGATCCAGATTTGGGGGGGGGGGGGGGGTTGTTACCTCATAAGGATATTTTCGTATTTTAAAAATAAAATTCCCAAATTGTTTACCGATTTTCACACCCCCCCCCCACTCACCCTTTCTCAACAAAAAAAGTTTATATTTTTTCTTATCTAGCGAAATATTTTTTGCTAAATAACTGAAAAGAGGGTGGCCCCCCTCCCCACACAGTCTATTTTGGGTAAAGGAGACGTCAGCCTTAATAGAGTTATAATTGATAAGATAATTCTCCTCTTCAAACGGTTGTACTTGTATGTGCTTTAAAACAGAATGTGAGATAAGGTCTTGAATTACCATTATCTTGTTTACTTTCGAGTTTATTAAACCAATTATATTTACTAAACAAACATTCCCCTTGTTTAACATTTGTCATTTTTTGCAATTATTTTGGATTTTTTTATACGAATATATTTGAGCTACCTGTCTCACTTAAATGTTAAAGGAAAATTAACCAAAACAATTCTGAATATTTTAAGATGTTTTCTTTCAACACAATCCTAAGAGTTTTTAAATATACATCTCCTGCTTAAACTCCTGAATGAGTAAAACTTTAAAATGCGGCCCCAGAACAACAAAAAGTGCCCAAGACAAATTATTCCTAATTATAAAGAGTTCAAGAGCTCAGAGTTTAATTTGATCAACTGTTATCTTTCAATTAATTTCAGATTGACATTTCGAGACAGTGAGCTGGAAGTAAGATATTGTGCACAAAGAGATTATATGTTCAAATCATCTTTGTTTTCCCTTACTGCACTTTGGGCATTTATCTTTATCAGGGAGGATATTATATTTCTAAACAGAAACATAACTTGAAAAATTACGAAATAAAACAAAATTGCTTATTTGGAAGCAAAAATTAGATGGCTGCCAATTAAGCTACAAAAATATCGCTTGTGTTCGACAAAAAATTCCTTATTTGCCGGCAAAAAGTTGGAGGACTGCCAAAAAAGCAATTTTTGTCCAATTTAAGCGATTTTTGTTCCTTATTTGGAAGCCATTCAACTTTTACTTGGATTTCAGAGTGATATTTCTTAGAACTGGATCAATCTTTTCTTAACCTTTTGATTGTTATTGTTTGCTCTGAAACAAATGGCTAAAACTAATAATCTGCCAAGATTATTTATAGGGGGAGAGATGAGAAGCGCCCTTCTCCAAAATTTCTGAATTTTTATTTTACTTAAAGGGAGTGTTCGCGAAAAATGAAAGGGGGTATAGGCTTACGGCGAAAAATGAGCGCTTTTGATCGCTACTAATCTTACTTCTATCTGTTGCGTCTATAAAGAGAAAATGGTTAAAAACGACTTATACCGAAGAAACGCTGCACGCAAATTCAGAAAGTTGCAATATTCAACTCGGATCGTAAAAAAATCAATTTAATTCCAAACAAATCATTCAGATATTACAACCAATATTCATCGATTATTTTTCGACGCATTCAATTACGAATGCGTATAAAAATAAAGTTTACATCCCCCCCCCGCCCCCCACCCTTCTAAAGTTATTATAATTTTTCTTTGAAGTCGGCAAAATATGGTTTAATTTTGCAGATTGTAGCTTCTGGCAAATATTGTTATATTATGATTAGTTTCTGGAAAGGAGACTACAGCATGAAATATACTAAATTATTATATTAATAAACATTGTGAAAACTCATCCGTAGTGTGTCCAGATATAATTCTCATTGTAAAAACTAGCATTTTGGCAAACTGTTTGTTTGAATTTTCTTAGATCAAATTATAGTCTAAGTTTGAAATATCTATGGTTTACACAATCAGGTCGCAAAGTCATTGGGATTAGAAAATTTTAGTTTGTGGCAAATACTCAGTTTCTTTCCTCATCTGCAAAAACAAACTATTTTCAAATTTTTTTTTATTTGATTTAAGGAAACAAGTAATTTTAAGTGCAATTGTTAAATATGAGTACTTCCGAGGGGTTTTACATGAAATAAAGAATTTACCTTTGTAACCATATTACCATATCCTGTGTAGTCAGATACTTCAAGTTCCAATACATAGAGAATGGTGTATGGTTTTAAACAATAAAACAATACAGGTAACATAAGAGGCACAACTGGGGAATATTATGGGTTGTGGGGGAGGGGATTAAAATTTTATAATTTAAAGGGAGTGTCTGGCTAGGCATGGTAATTGAGCTGAGAATGCAGTATTGTAGAGAATTTTTTTATAAATCATTTGAGACCCGTCAGACGTTTGTACGTTGTAAAATTGCTAAGTAAGAGAGCAAAATTGATCTTTAAAATTCTCTTTGGCACTCGCCCCCAGGCAGGGTGTGGCGCATCTCAAATGATTTATAAAAAAAGGCTCCACTATACTGCACTCTCAGCTCAACTACCATGTCTAGCCAGACACTACCTTTAAAACATTCTTTTTAGGATCATCATTTGTTTTCCAGCACGTACCCAAGGTACTTATGCAAGGAAAGTTATTTCAGAGGTGTACACATTTATTTGTACTGCAGTGTTTGGGCGGAAAAGTAAACACAAAACGGATGTCCCAGCCTGACAGGGAATCCATTTTCACACAAAAAATCTATGAAATATTCTGGTCATAGGAAACTATTATGTGAATTTTCAAAATTATCAAAATTAAATGCTTTAACCTCCTCGGATACTAAAAGAACAATGAGTCATCTATTCTTGTTTACAAAGTCCGCCCACAGAGAACTGGTTTCAATATGTACGCGTACAAGTATACGCGACCGCAATTAACTTTCCTAGCATTTGTACCTTGCATGTGTCCAAGTTTTACTTCCTAAAAATTATCATTCAAAATGTCTTAGCTTAAAACCATCGTATAGTGTAATTTCATATTAAGGATGGAGATGCTGATGTAGAGTGTAGTTTTGTTTACACCCTTTCATGTACTGCGGTTATTTTGTTCACATTGGTTTTACAACTAGGAAATTTATCATTATTATCATTTATCTCCTTGTCGTTGAGCTCGGTCCCTCAGAAGACCTAACTTAACTCCCAATACTGTTTTTACATATATGAAATTATATTCTATAACTTCAGATTTTTATAATTTAAAGAAAAAGTCGATAAAAAAATCTTAAAAGAAGTCAGTCGAACTTTTTACAGGAATAATTAAAAAACACTTGAAAACGACAATTATTTCTGGGCAACGCTGTGTGCCACTGTAATTTCTCGAAAATTTGTCTCCACAAATTAATTTATATTTTGGCCGGCTTGGCTTTTGTTTAAAAGGTGTTTGGAGACGATTGAGTTTTTTTGGAAAGGGTTTTCTCGCATTTTTATTTCCTGATATCCGACCATTCAACACTGAAATATAATAGTTCTGTCAAGTTTCCGTTTTAAGAGGGGAGGGGGTACAGTTTACGTTTTAGAGGTAACGAGGGGAGGGTAACATAAGTTATTAGAATCATGTTTATGAACTACAGGGTGAAGAAGATAGTAAAGACTAAGTTTATCCACATGATACACATTTTTTTTTTTTACAGATATAATTTGCATAACTATCTAAATAGATCTTGGCGACTTTTCTTATGAACGATTTTGCAGATTTAGTTACTTTAAGGTTCAATTCATTATTTTGTATTTAGTCAAATTTAGGTAAATTTTATAGTAGATTGAATTCTTACAAGTTTTCAACCACAACTTCTTTTTTTCAAAAGCTACTGAGTATTTTGGTGAGTATTAAGAAAACCAAATAAAAATTACAATTTCTGACAGACAACCAAATAATGGAATTAATTCTTTGCCACGAGCTCTGATTTTCAAATCCTTCCATATTTCACACTATAAATTCTGTTAGATCAAATCATCTTAGTTTAAAAATATCAAAGGTTTATCCCATCAGGTTTTAAAGATATGGGGATTAGAAAATTTGTGGCAAAGATTCAATTTTTTTGCTTAAATTCTCTTACATAAACGTAAAATAAGAGAAGTGTATACCGTATTTTAGGAGAAAGGGGGGCGCAACTGAACCCTTGCGACCCCCCCCCCTGGCTACAGGCCTGCGTAAAATATTATACATTTACTTGTTCAAATTATGATTAAAAGTCAAATAAGTCAACTAAAGGACATTTTTGGTTACTGGAAAAAAAATATTTTAATTATTTTTAATTTTCATTAATTTCTTCCATGTATTCCGCGGGCCTTTTAACCTATGTAGTTACATACAGAGTTACCCAAAAAAGATGAGACTTCAGAGATGATTTTATGGAAATTATTTAGTGTTTTTCTAACATCCATGGTTCTCTGAAATTGCAAACTTGTTTTAAACGTCTAAGGCAGGAACCGGAATGCATCCTTAAAACTGTCGCACTCGGGTTTTGTTTAAAGGTTTTTAGGTCGTCTCTGAAGTCTCATCCTTTGTGGGTCACCCTGCATATAATTCTAGGATTTAATGTTTTAGAAGGGGACAGGGGGAATGGAACAGGATGGAAGGATGTTAGAGATCTGGAGAGATTTAGTGGAGAAGGTTGGAGTAAAGTAAACAATGTTTGGACTGTAAGGTAACTAAATAAAAAAAACTACAGGGGGGGGGGCAAATTGACCCCCCCCCCAGCAGGAATAGGTTTAATTGCCTATGTCACATATACAAAAATACCTTATATTTTGGATGTCTATAAGATTTTTCGAAAGCTTATCTTTCTCTCAATTTGAAAATATTTCAATCTAAATCCAATGTGAATTTCAAAAGGATTAACTCTGTTGAAATCCTTCGCAAAACCTTTAATTTATTCAAAAGAAATATAAATTATTCAAGATTAACTTTCCCTGAATTGTTTATATGTATATTGTATATATAATATTAAAATAATGCCGGCCGAAGACAATGTACAATTGTTGATTAAATCAAATATACTTTTAACCCTTTTTCAGTAACTACCGGACATACTGCTTTGAGTACGTTTTCCATATATGGATAGGTAAAATTAAACATTCTTAATAAAAAAGATAAAGTTTTAACAGAGATATCATATGATGGAATTCTTAGATAAAAATAAATCCACAAAGGAACTGAGTCTTTGCCACAAACTCTGATTTTCTATATAATTCTTTGCAATATCCAATGTCGTAGACCTTAGATATACTAAAGTACTAATTCTGTTAGATCTAATAATCTAAATCTTAAATGTTCACGTCATCAGGTTGCAAAGATATTTGAAGAAATTAGTAAATCCTTTTAATAATTAATTTACTTTTAGTGTAAATATCTTCCTAGTTTACTATTTGAAAGTGTCAAACTTTTATTATATTAATTCTATTTTAATTAAATCTTATTTTAATTTTAATTGAACTTCTAATTTTGATTTTAGTATTTGATAATTTAATGTTTATCCTAATTTGTATTTGATGCAACGTGTAGATCATGTTATAAACTTTTTCTCAAATTTTATTTTGTATTTTAAAATGTTTTACAATTTGCAATACTCTCATCTTTTTTTGATGTTCTATCTCCAGAGAAATATCATAAAACTTTTGAAATACATATATATGATTTTCCATGTTTTCTAAAGAATATTACCTGTTCAAAACATATAAAAATCATTTTTACTTGTCATGACTTTATAATTTAATTTTCTAATCTAATATCTTTTAAACCTGATGTCAAAGATCTAACATCATCATGTTGCAAAGATACTGCAGTTTGAAAATCCGATTTTGAGACTAAGAATTAGCTCCATTGAAAACATAAACCAACTTAGTTATTAGAGATTTCTTGCACCTGCTGAAAATCGGAAAAAAGTGGTATAATTTCACTTTCACACAATTCAGTTCAATCCTAATGTGAAAAAAATGTTTAAATATTCAGACTTCTCTTTATTTTTTAAAAAATATTTTAGTTAGTATTCTGTCCCTGTCTGCATTCATAAGGAAGTTGTCAGATATTTTACTTAAACTTATAATCTACTTACCAATCTTACCATACTAGTTCAGTTTCACATCTTTCTGCTGGTGAGCAACCCTGCTCATTTTCTGAAAAATACACCAGTATTTCATTCTTTTCTTCACATGTTTTTAAAGTAATCAAATAAATCTGCTTTTTTTCATATTCTTGCGTAAAACAAGTGGAGCTACGCAGGCGGCCTTCTTCTATCCCTCATTTCAGCTCTTTACCCTTCCTTTGAGCTCCTTCCACATCCTTCATGCTTTTTTTTGCATCTTTTCCTTGTTCTTGATTCTCCTTTTTCCCATTTTCTTGTCATGCTCCTTCTCCTACCTTTATGATCCTTTTCCTTAAACATATTAATCTTAAAGCTGCTTTTCATCCTTAAACTTCTCAATCTCTTCTTCTCCTCCCATACGCTGTTTTTTTTCACTTTAAACTTCTTCTCTTCCTTCAATCTCCTACTTCTCCCTTTAAGCTCTTTCATCTCCATTATGCTACTTCTCCTCCATTAAACTAATTCTCCTCCCTTTATAAGATCTTTCTTCACCCTTTGAGCTGCTTCATCTCCATTACTTTTCTTCCTTTATACACCTTCTCAGTTCATTCTTTTCCTGCATGCCCCTTCTCTTTTGTTACACTCTTTCTCCTTCAATGTCCTTCATGCTTTATACTCCTTCTCCTTTGTTACGCTCTATCTTCTTAGCTATGCTCGTTCTCCTTCGATCTCCTTTATACTTTATGCTCCTTCTTCTTCACTATGCTCTCTCTCTTCTTCAATCTCCTGCATGTTTTATGCTCCTTCTCCTTTACTATGATCTTTCTTCTTCAATCTTCTTTATGCGTTATGCTCCTTTTCCTTCGTTATGCTCTAACTTCTTCAATCTCCTTTATGCGTTATGCTCCTTTTCGTTCACTATGCTCTTTTTCCTTCAATTTCCTTTATGCTTTATGCTCCTTCTCCTTCACTATGCTTTTTCTCCTTGAATCTTCTTTATACTTTATGCTCCTTCTCATTTACTATGCTCTTTCTCATTCAATATCCGTTATGCTTTATGCTCCTTCTCCCTCGTTATGCTCTCTCTCCTTCAATCTCCTGTATACTTTCTGCTCCTTCTCCCTCGTTATGCTCTTACTTCTTCAATCTCCTGTATACTTTATGCTCCTTCTCCTTCGTTATGCTCTTACTTCTTCAATCTCCTGTATACTTTATGCTCCTTCTCTCTCGTTATGCCCTTTCTTCTTCAATCTCCTTTATGCTTTATGCACCTTCTCCTTCGTTATGCTTTTTCTCCTTCAATCTCCTTTATGCTTTATGCACCTTCTCCTTCCTTATGCTCTTTCTCCTTCAATCTCCTGTATACTTTATGCTCATTCTCCTTCCTTATGCTCTTTCTCCTTCAATCTCCTGCATGCTTTATGCTCCTTTCCCTTAGTTTCCCTTTATGCTCTTTCTCATTCTCTTCTTCAACTCCTTTGTGCTCCTTCTCCTTTATTTTCTTTCTGGTTCCCGTTGTTCACTGTATCTGACTATCCAGAGTATATTACCTATATAAAGCAGTTCTTCTCATTGCAATGTTCACTCTCTACTCTTCCCTCATATTCATATTTCATCCACAAGGTAAGAATTTCTTGTCAGAAACAAATTACTAATTTATTTTTGATGGACAATATAAATAAATTTTCGGTATATTATATTGATTTGATCTTTTTTTGAAAAATCTTAAATCTAACTTGAAATTGGTGAGATAACCTGATATAAGTCAATTTACCAGTTAATAAAAATTGATTTACTTAGATGCGGGC